CACCAGTGGCGTGAGACAGGGCTGTCCTGCATCACCCTTCCTGTTTAATGTCGCTATTGATGACATCCTGGAGAGCGCTCTAGAGCACTGCAGACCCAGCGGCGTTGAATTGCTTCCGAAAACCGACTTCGCGAGTTGGGGTATGCAGGCGACATCGCCGTAATTTGACGGATGCGATCACACAGTCATCGTTCTCTTTCGCGTGGGAACTGATGACATTGGCCGACGTGTTGTGTATAATGTATACTGAAATTGTAGGCCAGTAATACGGTGGCCAGTGTAGTTTGAAGTATCTACCATAGAGCATGTTGTGAAACAGTTTTAGTGCGAAAACGATCGCCTGAGCTTCCTTCGCAATATGGCTATAATTTTTCTCCGCCACTTTTAGCGACCGTGCTGCATGTGCAATGGCCTTCCCTTCTCCTGGAGATACATGGAAAATGACTGCACCCACCCCAGAACTGGAGGCGTCCGAAGCAACAATGATATACAAGTTTGGGTCGAAAGTAAACCAGAGCTAAGCGCTTTCTTGAATGCATCAAAGGTTGTTGGCACTTCTTTGTGCATTGCTATTCTTTTCTTTTCATCAGCAAATCGTTCAGAGGACCTCTTGTCCGATGCAGATTTGCCAAGAACGCATTATAATGGCTCAGAAGACCGAGAAATGAGAGAAGTTCGGCTACAGCTGTCGGTGGTGGCACTGACCTCGCAACTGCTATCATCGATACAAGGGGCTCTTCCACCAAGCCTAGGGTTTCAGTCCACATTGGTTCGTTGAACGTCCACATTCCACGTCAGCTCAGCCAACAGGCAGCACTGACTATTACGCTTCACTCCCTTGATATTAATGTGTGCTGTGGTTCCGAAACACGTATACATAAGAACAGCGTTGTGATGAATCTTCGACTCCCTGGTTCTGAATCTGAAAACAACGACTACACTCTTAGTGTTTCTGGAGACACGGAGTCAACAGTTCAAGGTATTTATGGTGTTGGTATTTCCCTCAGCAAACATGCTGAAGGCAATCTCCTCGACTGGAGATCGGTGAACAGCCGCACGTGCGCAGTTCAACTTCGAACTACTATTGGAGTTTAATAAGCAGCGTCTGAAGCCAAGGTGCCTTCTCTTCGCCTCAGTTTATGCCCCCACTGAATGCAGTTCGGAGGGTATAAAGAATGATTTTTATCGACAGCCCTTATCTCTTCTTCGTATGGCGAAGAAAACCGACACAGTGATTGTTGCTGGTCTCATGAGTGCACAAGTGGGTCGTCTTTCAGATTCTGAACAGCACCTAGGAAAGCGCTTCGGAGTCGATCCATGCCGAACAGACAACGGTGATCGATTCCTGCAAATGTGCGCCCACAGCAATCCTTATATTAGTAGCACTACTTCCCAACACAAACGTTCACACCGCGTCACCTAGCGCCCACTGAATTCCGCAATGACCTGGACCCCATTTGACCATACTGCCATCAACTGCACATGGTGCACACCAGTCCAAGGCTGTCGGTCAATTTGGAGCATGTGGCTAGATTCCGACCATGCTTTAGTGCGTGCACGCTTGGTGCTCATTCTTCCCGCTTCAAAGAAGCGCTTGCCTTCTAATCTTCTTACCTGTAACTTGCAGTCTGCGGTTAAACACTATCATAACGAGGTAACCCCCAACTGTCAGTGATGAATGAGATTGGAGAGCCGAAAGCTGACTGGGATAGTCTCAAGCATGTGCAACCAACTTGAGACATCGCAACTGTGGATGGATCTCTGAAGCTCGGGCAGCTTGTTTGAGCCGCGTAAACGATTTCCGATGGACACTGAGTTTCAGCGTATCCGTAACCACTGAGACGACGTCTGAGAAGGTGTCTACACTAGTTAACCGGGAAAACTGGTGGGTTGCAAGGACCTGTGGGATGGAGAATACCAGTGCTACTGGGAACAGCCGAGGGCTAATTCAGCTAATCCGGAAGACGGGTTCGAGGAAGTCATTAATTAGCGACGCAAGAGCTGAGAAAAATGGATTGTTGATCCATTCTCAGCCTCATCGACTAACCGGTTGATCGGAGCATATTGTGGAGCTGTACAGAAGGCCTGCTGTAACACCGCTGCTTGCCGATCACCTGAGCCGATGTGGGAAGCTGATATCACACCTCCTACTTTGGAATAAATCCGACATGAGCTTTCCGTGTTGAAATGAAATAAGGCTCCTGGACTCGACGACCTTCGCCCATCCTTGTTGAAAGATGGTGGTGATTCATCGTTGACTGGATTTACTTCCGCTTTTAACGCGATTCGAGACACTGAAGACGCGTCTTCAGACGAGATACTGTCAACTCTCGTGTCCATCTTCAAGAAGGGTCAGCGTACTTTGTGCGAAAATCATCGAAGCATTGGCTTATTTCCATTGTCACAAAACTTCTCTTGGGTATCATTCTGGTCCCCGTGAGGACCGAATCACTGAAAGCCAGGCTGGCTTGCGCCCTGGCCGTGGTTGGAGCGACCATATATTTACTCTTCACTAAGCTTCATAGCAGAGACATACAGACAACCGACTACCGTGGTTTTCCTTGACTTGAAAATCGCCTTCGACTCTGTTGATCGAGACAGCTTGTGGCACTGCCAAACCTTGAAGGGCGAGCCAAACTCCTTTCCATTCCGAAGTCCATCTAGGTCATTGTGGATTATGTTAATAATGCCTTTCTACCGGATTTATGTGTCATATTGACCCACGGAGGCGGCGCATAAGTGAGAGACCATATTTTACTTTCCTCACGCTTTACATCAACGATCACAGCATCCCGTGCATTTTTGTATGTTTACACGACCTTTTTTACACTAACGTTATGTATCAACGCATTTATCTCGGCAGACACTAGATAGATGACTGACACATTTCGACTTCACTTTATTCATCCTAACCATCCGTTGGGACGTGCCAACCACTTGCTTTTATCCGGTGATAAATCACTGTTCATTGTACTGTGATTCCCGAGGCCGTGTAAGGGTCTACGGTAAACTGTCTCCTGAGTTCCGCACTACAAGTAGAGTTCTCTAGAGTTGTCGTAGATATCCTTTCCTCTCCAAGTTTGTTATCGAGATTATCACGAGTGACTCAGTTCTTTCAGACTCTACCGGAGTGGAACATCTGCCAGGTGACCGACTGACAAACCTGGAGTATGCGGACGACACAACTCCTTGGATCTGACGCAGTGGCTAGGAAAACACTACTGGATAGACTGACGCATAGCGCTGCACGCGTCGACATGTACTATGCACCTTCAAAGTGCAATGTGCTGTTGAAGGATTGGGCCGACACATTGCTTTGAGCTATATCCGAACCATCACTGGAAGTGATGGATTGGTTCACTTACCTTGGTACCTGTGTCACCTCTGGTGGTCACATCACTGAAGAAGTTACTTCGCGTATCAGCAAGGCCCATATGGCTTTCCAGAGGTATAACTATCCACGGAGACAGCTGGATATCAGCTTGTCAGTGAAAGGTAGGGTGTATAACGCTGCGGTAACACCAGTGTTACTCTATGGACCTGAGACCTGTCCAGTCCGCCGCTTGGCGGTGTTTTATCACCGCTACTTTTGGAGTATTGCTCACGTCTGGTGGGAACACCGGGTGAGCAATAATGAGGAGCGCCAGTTGGTTTTTGGCAAGAAGGCTTCTGGTGTCTCACTTGAGTGTTCGCTAAATCTTAGTCACTTGCGTGGCTAGACCATGTTCTCCGTGTGCCCGTTGATCGGCATCTTCGGCGATCGCTATACGTCATGGCTGTACCATGTTAGGTGAGACCAAGAGGTGACCAGTGGATCACGTGGCATCAATTTGTGAAGAAATTGACTGAGAGACTTGATCGGGCTGGTGCGTGCGTCTTCGTGGATAGGGCCATCGGGACGTCCGCACAAACGGTTGGAGACCGTGTCGACATGGCACAAGCACGAAGTCAGTGGCGTATCTGCACTCGGTTTCTTTTATCTGGTTGTTAATTTTCGTTATCAATTCTGATTAATCTAACGCATTTCCTTCTTGCTCCTATTTGTACTACATTCAGTTGAGACCCAAGGCCACTGTCCTACCGTTGTTATTTATTGTTATTATGCGGTATGAGTCGTGGAAACTGGATCCACCGCACTTCGGTGCTCGTATCAGTGTTGTTCAGCTGTACTGAACTGAACTGTTGAGTTCAGACAAGGAAGAAACCGTCGGTGGTGAAATGCAGTGACGGGAGAGAGTCACACCAAAACCCCCAACCGCCGTCCGGCTTGCCAACTCCTTTTGAAACTAATCTGCAACACAAAATGTAGGGGTCACCGGCTAAAACTGGCCACATAAAACAGTCAGCTGTGATGCGGCCAGAATTTGCCCCTCAGAGTCTCTCCGCCGTGGAACGCTCTTTCAACATACGTTATTTTTGCGTCCATGCTATCCATTATTTTAAATATGACTCCACCATGCATTATGCCATCAGCATTGTGACATGAATTCCGTCTATTGAGGGATATGAGACGCAAAGAGTGGACATCTGAGGCCCCACGAAATAAGCATAGACGGATAGCATGGTGAATCCACAGGTGTGCGAGTTAATTTACCGTGATTTTTGTACTTCTGTATATCACACAAACCATCCCACGGGCTTTTCAACCACATGATACCATTGTTCCATTACGATATTGTTAACGATAAGATGGAAAAATGAGGTAGACTTAGTACTCTTCCAAAAGTGCAACAACTAGAGTGCACTTGCAAATATTATCAGCGCTACAGAATGAAATTTTAGAAAATTCGAAATAAAAGAATTTTACGAGAATGAGGACAATCCTGACGAGCGTGCTATTGGATGCAGAGGCACAATGTACAATCTGTAACCGTCAGTGCTTAAAACAATTTCAGAGAGAATAAAGGGTTGAATGAGAGAACAAAATACGGACAGTACGGAGCTCATGAAGCAGACTATGAGTGGAACCCACATATCCATTCGAAATTGGAGAAACTTACGAGAAATGCCGTCTTCGACAAGGACAGGTGAAGTGGAGGAAGCAGAGATAGGCAGCGATCTTTGCGTTGAGTTTGAAGTTACACCATTTTTCGAGGGTATTATGGAACGGGCATCACCGGTCGAGGCATCGTTAATAGTGACCTGTCCTAACATATCGGTAAGACGGTCAAAATCTTCATAATGTAATAGATCGGTAGATGCGGTGCAGAGTTGAGGCGGATGAAGCACGGATCCTGAGGAAAAAGTGCCTGAGAAGTCCGGTAGCGTACGTTCTAATTTGGGGGACGACTCAGAGTAGCTAGGAAGTTCCATAGTGGAAGAGCCCGCTTTCCTCGAAGCAGGAGACGCGTGCCATTCAGGCGAACGATTCAACCCACCCAACGCTTGATCCAGGATGCTATGGTGCATCCAAGGTGAAAATATAGACGGAGCAGCACGCACAGTGGGAGTAGATGTGGGCAACGGGTGGACGAGTCCGGTAAGAGACTGTCTAACAGGATTAGAGGGGGACGGTGAAACCAGGTTCACGAGTGGACTAATTAAGCGAGTCTGTGGATCGGAGATCCCGACTTCGGCTGACGTTGGATCAGCAGCACCGAAGCTAAGAAAAAGATTTAATAAAAAGTAAAAAAGAAACGTAATGAATTGTAAAACAACGGAGCAACAACTGATAAAAGCTAGGCAAGAGAACATGGGACAAAAGCGCATAAAAATAATATCATAGTTACAGCACATGACAGGTATTTTAAATCCTGTTATCGTAGGAGCATCTCCAGAAAGTTGTAGTCACAAAAATAAACACCTAGTCCAAAAGTTAAAAGAAAAAATACGAGTCATTTGCGACAAGTTCGATCACAGCTTTTAAGGAAAAAGGGGTCCGAGAGGCATGACTGGCACTGCTTAGAGGTTTTTTACGAACCGGATTGCAACCACCGCAGTTTTACCTAAAAACACCTAGCTAGTGCAAACGTGAAAAGAGGGTGTAACACAAGCGAGTTCGATAAACTGAATGCACACAGTACTCAACGCAAGAAGGATAATCATGAGAGGCCCGCTGCGAACATGGTATTGAGCAAGCAGATGGCGAAAGGTAGAAATGTAGAAGCATTGTGTTCCATGTATCAATGTAAACAATGCAAGGAGAAGACGGACGTTGCAAGGTGATATGATTTCGTGTTTTATGGTTAGATGCAAGCAAGCAGTGAGGGAAAGGAATCAATAGTTTGAATTTTGGTAGTGGCACATACCGGCACAAGCCATAGCAGAATCACATGTAGTAATACAAGTGTCAACGTCCACAAAGTAGCTTGAGTGTGACAGTCAGTTGCTTTTCAAGGCCAGAGGTTGCGATTAATGATCATAGCCACAGCGAGCTTGAGTATTTCTGGGTTTATATTGAAGTCAATAATCGTAAATGCCACGTCCGGGTCAAGTTGGTGACTTGTGCTTAGTAGGTGCATAACACAGCTGTGCAAAAACAGCTGGCTGTCACACTGAAGCTCCCTTGGGGACGGTGATAGTTGCTATACTACATGTAATTCTGCTGTGGCTCGTGCCAGCATTTGCCGCTTTCAGAATTCGAACTACTGACTACTTTTCCTGCGTAATCACTTAGTCTGCTGCTCATTTGCATGTGATCACAGAGTACCTTGCAACATCCCACTTCTCATTGCAATGTTTAGTAAGGTAGTGATGTCAACAAACTCTAAAAACCGAAGCAAACTATAATGGTCTAAACAGATTGGACCAACGAGCAATAGCGAGCCACTGATGCACGTTCACATGGGCAGTATAGACGTGATATTGATACCATGGTGCATTTCAAAGCACGTTTTGGTTACTTCGGAAGGTGATGATATCAAATAACAACCTTATCTTTGAAGGCACCAATTTCTACGGTAATCACCGTCAAAAAGTGACTAAATGGGTCAGATTTTGAAGCAAACCTCATGACAAAATGCGTTGCCCATCGTGACCTGGTAGCCAAAGGGGTAGTAGTGTTGGCTGCTATTCCAATGGTCCTGGGTTCAAATCCTGCTGTCTCCACCTGATGTGATGAAAATTACATCGAAACGCGTCGTGGTTGTGCAGTATTTTCGGGTGGGCAATACCCAATTTCCATCAACCTCATGACACGTTTTTAGTCAAGGGCCCACATGCATTCGCTACAATAATAAAAAAAATAATAACACCCGATGAGAAGCACCGTCTATCATTGGAACAGACCAAATTCGTACATGTAATATCATGCTTTTGCGTGTTTGCCGGTGTTTCTAGCGATGTATTTGGCTCACAGGTATATGTTTTACTGTAAACTGTATGGTACAAGTAGGGTTTCGAAAATATTGCAAGCAATTACACATTTCACCACTGTTATTTGGGCCTCATAAAACAAGCGATCTACACAATGAGAACAAGATTCTTATCATGTGTAGGTCCAGGCAGCTTCCGAGTTTGGTACAAAATGATGCTTCACTCTGTGATTGGAAACCGAGTCCACGGGGTGGCACATAAAGTTAGAAGGAAATGGGATCGTACAATTGTCCTGCAAATTAGCTCCGCTCGTCGGAGCTCACCATCGGCGAATAGGAATGGCATGCTATATTTAATAACTAGACAGATGTAGTTGCCATAAAGCAGAAACAGTGCAAGAACGCGTACACTTCCTTAGGGAAGAATAGTGGTCCCCTAAGACGAGTACATAAGAGTGGCCACTCAGGTATGATGATAGTCAACTTAGTAGTGGGTTCTAGACTCCCATAGAATACACCTTCATCAACCTATGGAATGTCCTTTGCATGTCCAGAAGTAGTATTATGATTGAATATCCCGAGTAAATAGAAGCTGATATCCAGTAGAAATATTGTAGTTGGTAGATTATGAACGATCGCTTGTCAAAGAAACAACGTCGAGAGTTATCTATCTGCTAACGGATTGGTCAATTGCATCACACTGTTCTTAACCAATTTTTCGAATGTCCAGATAATTAGGTGAGTGATTTTGACTGGTTGGTATAACCCAAATTTGTTATTTGAAACGACACTTGTGGCGAAATTTCCACTGATCTGGAAAGTTGCTGGATTCCAGCAGTGGCACGTCAGGCTTCTCCTCTCGGTTCTACGGCCGGTAAGAGGATGCCATCGGTAATCAGACTGGAGAAGAAACTGACTTAATTCATTCACTGATGAGTATGATGGAGAAAATGGGTTACACACAGAGCATTTCTGGTTTGTATTCTAATGTGTGCACTTACGGAGTCAGTATACAGTTGCATAATGGTGGCGAGGATAGAGCTAAATGCTTCACATATAGTAGTTGAATCATGAAGCGAATGACCATCTGCGTCGACCAGCGCAGTGATTGCAAGTTTGACAAGCCCTTTTGTTTTGCATGTAGCTCGTATGTCATCAGTCGTGTGTGCTTGACTTTAGCGATGAATCATTGCGCATGAAAGATCAGTACGAAACCGCCTGTCTATTAGTATATCGCGATCCGGCTGGAGCTTTAATTGAAATAAAAAATCCGCCTAATGAATCTGATGGTAAAAAAGTGTACATTGTTTTAGAGAAAGAATAAGTCCCAATCGGAAGAGTTGTTTAATTATTGGAAGAGTTCGCAGCTTATCCTGTGAACTGCATAGTGAGGAGGCGTGTATGGTGGCCATTCTAAAAAGAATGCCTTCGAATGCCTGCGCTCCTTTTTTGGTGCACAGTTGCGTTTGTTGTTTACGTGAATAACCGTCCTACTACACAGCTGTTTTTGATTTCGTCTCAGCGTAACAATGAGTTGTTTCAGTTTGCGGTCACTGTAGGGGATATTGTCCAGCTGGTTTGATTGTGCGTTGGCAATGCCATGTGAAAATCAGCTCCAGTATAATAAGCAAACTGGTTGTTTTACCCATTGTGTCCAACCGCCAGGTATAAGAGAAGTAAGGATGTGCGTAGGCGAGGAGGGCTGGGAATAACAGCTTTAGTGAATTGTAGTCACCGGCAACTACGCTTCATCTGTGGCATATCTGATATAAACGCAAAACCCAGAGTAATAATGGTAACACCCACAGCTGATGTGGTCGATGGATAGTAGATACATCGCTGTAGAAAAACCTCAGCTGTTGTATAGTAATACAATTTAAACAGGAATCAGGAAAAAAAACGAATACGCAACAACAAAACAAAACTATTGATCGATCGTGCATTAATGTGAACAGCGAAAGCTTCAACTCTGATCGTGCTCCACCATTCCTGTCTGCGGAAATTACCAAGACACACAATTTCATTTTTTCGTGTTAATTGAGGTGCTCTTGTTTTTATTCATCACTCGTTCATATCGAGAAACTACGTCGTTTAGAACATGTGTAAATGCGGTCTATACTTAGGAACGGTAGCTACCGCGAATTTTGTAGGAGACTGTAACAGCTTAGAGGAGTTACTTGACGTACGCCATTTGCTGGTGTGGATGTAGAGAAATTAAGCCCTGAGTCATGTAACAGTTATACTGATACAGCACCAGAGCGTTTCTTTGCCAAAGTCCTGGGGTCAGTAGAATCATTGCCTCTGATCGACAGGGTAAGTGTGATTTAGTAATTGAAGCACCTACGTTCCGGTAAGGCTAATAGTCTGGATGGGCTATCTCCCGTCATACACAAAGAATGTTCTGGAGAAAAGCATTTTTGCGAAGTTGCTATCGCAAACACACTCAAATGACCCTCTTCAGTTCGCCTACTTTAGACGCAGTCAGCTGCTTCGTACATTCTGTACTATCATCGCTTGACGACAGAAACAAATTAACTCGAAATGTTTTGTTGAATATAGCAATGAATTTGACTGTGTAAACCCGAACCATTGTTAAAAGATCGATTCATACAAGGAATGCATGACTGTTTTGTCGGGCGCACTCAGACTACCAGAATTAGTGGAAGATGCACCGCGACAATAACAAAGAAGCGGTGTCCAAATGGGATAAATTCTGTCTCCTTTACACTAATCTACTTACGCCGGCTCAATAAAAAAACATTCGTAGTATGCCGGCGCATTGTACCGACGCTTCGCTGCCACGCGCAAGCTGAGTATACCACGAAGCCGCCCGCCTCCACGCCGATTTGAACCGATGACCTAAGGATTGCAAGTCAGGCGTGCAATTCCTTCGGATGCATATCTGCAAGTACAACTTGAGAAGCACTCGAAAGAAATATTGACGATAAATACGCACTGCGAATTTTATCAGTACCATCGGATTCCGTGCAAGTATTTCGAACAGAATGCATCAATCAAATGAATCGGATGGACTCTTGAAATCGAGGAACACACCTATTGTCTGTGTGCGGCATGCGTGGCGCTGCTCTAACACCTGCCGCAGAGTGAACATATAGTCTATACAGCCCCGTCGTCATGGGCGGAAACCTAACTGCTCTTCCCTAATCCGGCATTCCCAGCCTGCAGTGATGCGAGGTAGAACAATTGAGTCCAGCAACTTTGTTACAACTGGCGTTAGGCTAATATCCCTGTGGTTAGCAGTCGGTGCGATTACCATTAATGTATATTGCTACTATAATCGAGTCACTCCAGTTAGGTGGGTTGAGATCCTCCTTCCAGACCAGTACGA